CCCTAATGACTAGTGATGTTGAGCATCCATTCATGTGCTTATTGGCCATTTGTATATCTTCTACGGAGAAATACTTATTCAGTGTCTTTTGACTTGTTTTTCTTGTTGTTGACTTGCAGTTCTTTATATATTCTGAATTTTAACCCCTTACCAGATAATGACTTGCAAATAGTTTTTCCAATTCCTTTTCACTGTTCATTGTGTCCTTTCTTGAAGAAAAGGTTTTAGTTTTGATGAAGTCCAGCTGATCTATTTTTGTTGCCTTTGCTTTTGGTGTCATATCCAATGAGCCACTGCCAAATCCAATGCCACTAGTGTCGTTTTCTTCTAAGAATTTTATAGTTTTAGCTCTTATGTCCAAGTCCTTAATCCATTTTAAGTTAATTTTTGTATATGGTGTAAGATAAGGGTCCAGCTTCATTCTTTTGCATGTGAATATCCAGTTTTCCCAACACCATTTATCGGGAAGACTGTCCTGTCCCCTTGAATGGTCTTGGCACCCTTACTGAAAAACTTACGACCATAAACACAAGGGTTTAATTCTGGGCTCCTTATTTTATTCCATTGGTTTATATGTCCATCCCTATGCCTGTACCACACTGTTTTGATTACTGTAGCTTTGTAGTAAGTTTCAAAATTGAGAGGTATGTGACTTCTAACATTGTTCTTTCTTTTAAAGATTGTTTTGGCTATTCACGGACCTTTGAGGTTCCATGTGGATTTCAGAATGGGTTTTTCTGCTTCTGCAAAAAATGTTGGGATTTTCATAGATTGCATTGAAACTGCAGACAGTTTAGAGTAGTCGTGACATCTTAACAATACTAAGTATTTCAGTTCATGAACGTATATGTCTTTCCACTTACTGGTGTCATCTCTAGTTTCTTTCATCAGTTTATGATTTTCAGTATGCAAATATTTCACCTCCTTGGTTAAGTTTACTTCTAGGTATTTTATTCTGATGCTATTGTAAATGGAACTGTTTCCTTAATTACCTTTTTGGATCATTTATTGTTATAGAAACATAACCAATTTTTGTGTATTTATTTTATATTCTGCCATTCTGCTGAATTTGTTTACTTGACCTAACAGTTTTGTGTATGTGTATGTGTGTGGGGGGGAGTCTTTAGGATTTTTTATACATAAGATCACATCATATGCAAACAGATTGATTTTAATTTTTCCATTCCAATTGGAGGGCTCAACTTTTTGCCAACTGAATGGTCCTGAATTAGTTTCCTGATCATTCATGAGGATGTATCTTTTGAAGTCAATGCAAAATTCACATGGAATATTAGGATAAATATAAAGTCTCAATCTTCACATTTTAGGCTCTCATTCCCTACCTTCTGCTCCTAAGGAATACCGTAGTAGAAAATGTTGGGGGACTAACTGGCTATAGCATCAAGCTTAAGGCTTTTTAATCAGCCTCTCAAATGAACAACATTAGGAATCCTTAACATTTATTGGCTTATAAACTCCTTTAAGAATTTGATAAATATGAACCCTCAATTCAGAAAAAATGCTCAAAATTCTGCCTACAGCATCAGATTTATGAATCTCCCTAAGTTCAACGATGGATCTCTAACAAATATAATCCAGATAGACTTTATCAATCAATCCTATTCCTACTGAACACATAACCTCTTCAGATATATTGCTTATTTCAAGTACACACTAGCCCCAAAGTTCTACCCTTTCTTGTTCCCAGCTCAATGCTTCTGATTGCTGCTTTTGCCACATCCTAATTAAATTTCACTTTTTATTAAAGGTTCAGCTAAGATCCCCAATTCTTCCAACACATTGTCCAACCTATTTTCCTGTCTCCCAACAGTATCATTTACTCATTCAGTAAGTATATATCAAGCAGCTTCTCTGTGCCAAGCCATGTTCCAAAAGCTGTGGATACAATAATGAACAAGACAGTATCTGTCCTTAAAAACAGTGGATTACCCAAAAGGCAGATTAAACATGTACTTGGGACACACACACAAGCATGGGAAGAAAACTATTTGAAAAAAATTAGATTATAAAAAAAAAAACCCTCATACTTCACTTGAGTATTAGTTTTTATTTTTAATTATATTTTGGGAAGCGGTCTGTCTTTTCCACACTTCGGGTTTCTGAAGGTCTTCATCTATTCCTGCTAACCTAGTGAGGGAAAAACATCATCTTCCCCCCAAAATGTGACTCCTCTCGTTTTATCGGATGTGCATATATTTAGGTATCCAAGAAAAAAAATCCGGGTGCTGCCCTCAACTGCTTCCGCTTCTAAATTCTCTATATCCAATTACTTTTGTATTTGAGAAAGGTCACTATTGGTTATATGAAATGAATGGCCTAGAGGGGACACAGTTGGGTATATAATGAGACCAACTAGTTAGAAGGCTGTAACACAAAGACAATGGTAACCTGAACTGCAGTCTACTAGAGGTGACTTGAAAGATATGGAAAGAGATAGAGGGGGAATTTATCAAACCTGGTGATTAGATGTGTAGGAGAAAGAAGAGGGAGATATTGAGAATAGTTCCCAAATTTCTGGCTTGACAAAATCAGGTGGATGATGATGAGTAATCCATTTAGATATTAAGGGAAGTAGAGAAAATGGGAGTTTGGGTAAAAGAACTGAATAGGTTCAGTTTTGGATTTCCAAATGGAAACACCCAGTTGGTAGTTAGATACTAGGTCTGCAAATCAGGAAAGAAACGGGCTCTATTTTACAAATTGTCAGTGGACAGTTGGTAACTGAAGCTAATAGAGTTTTAAGAGCAGTATTATTAACACCATTAAGTCATATAAGAACATTGAAGGTTTGAGCTCCCTTCTACCTTTCACAGGAAGTTACTTGAGGAATTACCACAACATAAAGTATAAAATGAGGAAGATGTGGGTCCACAAAACAGTGAATCCTACCCTAGAGAATAATAAGAGGAGTCCTAGGACAAAGTCCTTGTAGTCATAGAGACTGGCACAGGACAGTGAACTTTGAGGAGGGAGTCTTTATGGGGAAAACTTTTAAATCTAAAAATTAGCACAACTGAGATATTAGGAAACTTGGAAATATGGTAAAAGAAATCTGGCAGAATGTAAAAGATATTTGAACTTGCCTCTAGCACTGCTTTTCAACAAGGGGCACAGAGTCAGGATACTGGTGCTTTAGCGGACGTATTATCCTAGCCATCCATGATTCTGTAGTAAACATTTACAAAGGAATAACTGAAATGCTTTTTCTTACTGTATTTCATTGATCGTAAGACCTTTTTCCCCCCTCACATTTTCACACCTCTGAATGGTACACATCTTATAATCAATGGTATGTCATGATTTAGTTCTTTCTTAGTAATATACAAAATAATGATGCATCTTATGACCAAATAGCATGGTGAACTTAATGAATTGTGTGTGCCAGACACAGGTTTAAATGCTTTATAATATACTCTTTCTCAATTGACCTTCATAATGGTGCTATGTAGCTGGTGTCATCACCATTTTACAGATAAGGACACTGAGGACCAAGAACTAAACAATATGCTCAAAGGCTGTGGTCAGTTAAGTGGCAAAGGTAGAACTGAGAACCAGATCTGACTTCAAAGGTCACACTCTTATATTTCAACATTTACCACGGGTGATACAAAGTTGAATGAAAACCTACTCTGACTCCTAACAAGGTCTAGCTCAAATGTGAAGCCTTTGAATCTGCACCAGGAATAATTTTGTCCTCATCTATGCTCCCTTAACATTTTATGAATTCTGCTACCATACCTTACTATAATGTGTAACTTCCAAAGAGTACCTTCCTCACCTTCTCTGACCCTGCAGGACCTGCCACTGTCCTGCTTATTAACATGCATTACAAGCAGACAGATTTTCTGACACCAAGTCTTAAAGAGGAGAAAAAAAAATGCACATGTAACTAAAAATGTTACAGGGGAACTGTAAGTAAAGTGCACTGGAGTTTAAGAGAAAATAACCAATGATAGAAAGTACAAGTCACTCACACACACACACACACACGAGAAAATAACCAATGATAGAAGGTACAAGTCACACACACACACACACACCCCACCCCCAAATCTCTGAGACATTTTCTTTGTCCTATTTGGCATTTAAAACTTTTAATGAGTTAACGGCATTCATAAATCAAACTTTAACATAAAATCGGGTTTCTGATTTTTCTGAAAATTGGGAAGCTATTGGAAACCGGGTGCTCTTTTTCCCAGGGAACACCACTGGTTGGATGTTAACACCAACTGCTCCTTGCAGATAATCAGTGCTCCCCCGTTCGCTCCTACCACCTTCTCACGCCCAGCCTGCGTTAAGGTGACTGACATCCGACAAGTGCAGGCGTTTGGGCTCGCGGCCCCTTCTCCGGACACCCCCCCACACCGCTCTATTGCACACCACGTACGTGGATCATCAAGCACCAGCCACTCTGCCTTGCACTTTGCCTAGAAAGGCCTTTGCTTTCGCCAGAGCACTCCTCCAAGTCGCCGCTTTGATTCTGTTAACTTGCTTCCTCCGACCACTCCCTAAACTGGGTCACGGCAGCGTTCCGGTCAGACGTCTATTAAAAGCCTAATCACACCCAAGTACAAGTTTCCCTCCTCGCTGGGACGTGAGTTCCTGAAGCCAGCGGCCCCCGTCTAACTGATTCCCGCGTCCCCAGCTCCGGACGTGCGGCCCTGCACCTGAACACGGGCGTTCGGGGCGTGCCGCACGTGCCCACAGAAGCCGACCTTCCCACTCCACCGCCAGCCCGGGCGGGACTGTCCCCTCAGCCTCGGGTCGGGGGGGAAGGGGGCCGAGCCGAGGAGCAGGAGAGCCAAACCCAGGATCGCTCGCAGTAGAACCGCCCCGTTCCAGCTCCCGCGCGGCTACTCACCTCCGCCGCCCGGACCCCAACTCTCGCGAGATCCAGTCTGAGGCCCACCCCACGCCTCCGCCTCCAACCCAGACTTGAGCTCGGTTTCCGTTGGATTCACGCAGCCGCGCAGCTCTCCCAGCAAGCCCCGGGCGCGCTGCGGCCCGGAAGCGGAAGTGTGCCTCCCAGTCTGAGGAATCGGTGTGTACTCGGTGGTCCTGAAATCCACGGGAGGCGCTTTGCTTCGCGTCTGCGGACACTCGAGCGCTTCGCCCCTGGCGGGTGGGAGTGCAGAGACGGCAGTGCGAGATGAGCACCATGTTCGCTGACACGCTGCTCATCGTCTTCATCTCCGTGTGCACGGCCCTGCTCGCCGAGGGTGAGAGCGGCCGCGGCCAGAACGCCGGCTCGGCCCGCGGGGAGGGAGAGGCGGGGTCCCGCGCGCCCCCGAGGGCGAGGTCGCCGGCTCGCTTGCTCGGGGGCGCTCACTGCTGCGGGGAAGCGCGGGCAGCCCGAGAACCGGCGGGAGGGCTGGTGTGCGGTCGGTGGCCCAGGTGTCTGCGGTCACGGCTGGGAGCCTCCTTCCTGTCATGCCACGGCTGGTTTAGTCTTATTCGGAAAATGTTTACTGGTAAATAGCAAAAAAGTTGAAATCGCTGCTTACCCAACAGTCGCCACTAATGACAGCTTGTTTTGACTGTTGCAACCATTTCTCTATTAGCATATTGCCTTCAATGTTGCAGGTATAACCTGGGTCCTGGTTTACAGGACAGACAAGTACAAGAGACTGAAGGCCGAAGTAGAAAAACAGAGTAAAAAATGTGAGTATGGAAAACATCCCCTAGAAATAGTTTCAACCTGTCAAGCTTATTGAGCGCTTGTTCACAGAATTTTAGGAGCACCAAGTGATACAGAAACTTTATAGGAATACAAAGGAGGACCGGACTGGAATTGTCTGGAAATAGAAGACTTTTATGCAAAATGTGTAATATAAGCGACAGTGGAGTAAAAGACGTGAGAATAAGTACATGGTACGTTTGTAGTGATTCTAAAGAAGAGATCCCATTCGACTACATCTTGTATCGTGTTTCCCCTTCCTCTCTCTTCTCTAGCCACTCGGGCGTTTTTTCCATCCTCTGGACTAGTCTTGCTTTTCCCTACTGTGGAGCTGAGGCTTTTGTATCTGCTGTTCCCTCTGCCTGGAATATTTTTTCCTTCTCATTTTGTGGAGTAGACTCCTATTCATTCTCAAAACTTTGTTTAGTCTCCCAGACAGGGTCGGGTCAAGTCCTACTGTTATGGGCTCTAACTTATTCATGTACCTCTCCATAGATAACTTATCAAAATTACAGTTTTATCTAATTATAATTATTAAATAATGGCCTCTCTCCGACTAAACTGTCATTTCTGTTAGGGCAAAGCCTAGTATATCTCTAGCCTTTAACAGTGCCTGGCGTAGATTAGATACTTGATGAAAGTGTGTTGAATAGATTAAAGGATAAATTACAGCATAGCATGACATGTATTCTTTGTGAGAAATTGTTCTGCTATGATCATGAACTAGTTAGCATGCAATGGCATCTATATATGAATTTCTTCACATCACATGTATCATTGAGTAGTATTATGAAATATAGAACACATTTAGCTTCAAATTTGGGTGAATAGTCTTATACCTTAAATATTTATAGAAGTACAAATCTGTCCTATAGATTTTCAGCTGCTTTGGTGTCCACAAAAATCGCTTTGTCTCTAATTATCTGCATTATAGAAACAAATTAAGTATCCTTTACTTTTCACCTGAATTCAAAGCAGTATAGTTGCCTGGCAAAGCTTCAATAGTTAAATTTTTAATACAATTCCTTAATATGTTTGCTTTGAAGATAAGAATGAGGTTGATAACTCATGGCATTTCTTATGGTCTCAGGTTGTCTACTTTAGGTAATCTATCAAAACTCAATAAGCATTTGTTATTTTCATTTATATGCTCAGTTATCACATTTGATTGTTTGCCATATGTAGAATTTACTGTGACAAGTGGAATACCAAATGAATGGGAATAGATAGTGTCCTAATTGAAAACATATAGTCCTTTTTAACATTCTATGTTCAGAATTTGGTATGGATCTGGGTGAGAAAAGTTTGTAGGCTATTTGAGGAATATAAAAATTATTAATAGATTTGGATCAGAATTAGATGTAGATTTTTTGGCTGATCAGATCCTTGATCTGAATACTTCAGTAAATGAGAACGATTAATATATATATATAATTTGATTCTTATAACAATTATTTACTTGAGAGCATTATTAAGTACAAGTTATTGTGAAGTATGACAGAACTCTGGAATTCAGAATGCAGCCATACTAGGTCATAGGCAACATGTGTTTCATAGTAGAATCTTTCATCTTTTTCAACTCTGACATCTCCACTTTGTGTCAAGTGGTGAGGTTCTGGTGAATAAATATCAATTCAAAAAACTTTCTTTGCAACTCATGACGTTAGAAAAACATAGATTAATTTATTCTATCCCTAGAAAAGATTTATCTAGTTTCGTTCTGGTTAGCTAGAAGATCAGGTTAATGTTCATAGCATCACCTTAAGTTCCTATTCTGTAGTTTTCTTTTTCTTTGCCCTTGTTTTTTAATACAGTCATGGTTAAATGTGTTATAGCCCTTCTGGGGAGGGAAAGAGGTATTTTTTGTTTCTTTCATTAATAATAATGATAAAGAGTAAAACATTCAGTGTTTTCTGTCTGTCTTTTAAAATGGTATTTCTATAACATCTTGTAGAATTTGACTTAATTTCCTTTTATGATCTCATACTAGTAAGTTCATTCTAAATCTCTTTCTCTCACCATATATATGTCATGTTTTATCTTTTCATCTACTTAGAATAGTACCTGTTGGTTAAGATACCCAATATGTACACACACACACACAAACACACACATTTTATTTTAGTCCGCACTTTACCATTTCATTTGCAATACTGGAATCAAATTGAATTTTACACCTCTTTGATAAAGCAGTTGACCAATTTTGCTTTTAGAATTCACATAGCATACTTAATGTGTTAATGGAAAGAGTCCTACCTGTCAGTTCTCTTTAATACAACTTGAAGAAGTAATACGTGTACTGTTTGCTAGTAAAGGAAGTACATTAATACATGGAACAGATAATGTAAATAAACTGTTAAGTAATTTTTGACATACCTATTCCTAGTCCATTCAAAGGTAAATTAAAAATAGTAAATAAAGATACATTCTTCAAAAGTTTGCTGTTCACTCTGTCATACTGAAATGCATCAAAAAAAGTTGGTCTTAGCTTTTTTGGCTCTCTTGATCTTTTACCCTGTGCATATGTCTATCTTGCCCACTTTCCATACTAAAAGTGTTACTTGGGCATCTGCCCTCACTCCATTGATCTTTAGAGGTCAAGGATCATATTTATCTTTTCGTCTGCCTACAACAGTGCCTATTAGGCAGCCAGTAGCTGAATGAATGAGTCACTACCTCTTAGATTGAATATGAGAATTAACCATAGTTACCTGAGAGAGCCGAATTTGAGAATTGTGCTTAGGCTCTACTAAGGCAATCCCTTTAGCTGATGGTCTGAAAATTACCTGTTTTGGTTATGTTTATGTCTTTATACAATTTTTTATGGTGCCTACCATATTGTTGTTTAGTCTTTAGATTTACTGTCAACAGGTATGGGAGCAGACCACTTGACTTACCATGGCCATAAAGCAAAGTCAGTGTGTAACTTTCTTGAAGCATTTTTCCTAGGTTAAGCTATGATAAAGTGTCCTTTGTTTCTTTAGCATAATGCACAATTAATTTTTGCTGTGTTTCTATATTGTTTATAGTGGAAAAGAAGAAGGAAACAATAACGGAGTCAGCTGGTCGACAACAAAAAAAGAAAATAGGTAAGCGTGATAGGTTTTCTTGGAAAAAGTAAATTCTTAGGTGATGAAAATGTAATGAAGTTACTGGTGATAACTCATGTTTGTTTAATTTTATGGTTTACAAAGCAGTTGCATGTGTTGCTTGGTTCACCCATTCGTTTTATAAGTTGAGTTCAAGCAGTTGCTTCATTTGCTCTTAGCTTTGAAATGTTATTTTTAGTAAAAGGATGTTGACAGTTGTGACTTGAACTTGGCTGAGGGTTCTTGGCATAGTTTGTAAAAGTGTATTGTTTTGTGTGTCTGAGGCTATTTCTGAGGTACTTGTATTTATTGTTGCCGTGGCTTCTTTCCTGAGAACTGGCTGGTGATGGAAATCCACCGAAGGGCAGGAAATTTTTTGCTGAGTAATTTTTATGTGGTCTGAAAAACAATGACGTGTTTTTGGTTTCTCTGTGTTAATTTAGAATTTATTAACAGAATGTAATTCTGTTCCAAAGAGACAATTTGTAAGTTACTATATGCGATTTATATTTATACTTCATGATTCTTCCTGCTTCTGAAAGCAGGAAAAAACTGTGTATTGGATTCAGAGACAAGGTCTCTGTACCAAGGTTGCTGCTGTTACATCCCAGGAGAGAATCCTACCAGGTTGGACTGTGCCTGTGTCCTGTTCTTAATTGAAGCTTTTCAATTTAGTGTAGGCTTATCAGATGTTTTCCAAACGGCCTGCCTATTCAGTTCCTTGGCAAGATTCTGCCGTGTATCTCCTCTGTATGTGTCAGTTACTCTGGCAGCCACTGGAGAAGCAAAGCGGGAGAAAATCCTGTCTTTCAGGTGGTCTGTGTAGTGGAGGAAACAGACGGGTACAGTGTTGTAAGTACTTTTGTAGAGATATATTCTGAGTGTTATAAACGTAGAGAGAAAGGTTATCCAAGCCAGCCTAGGGGAGCAGGTTTTCTTGTGTTAAATAAGGTTACTTATTTTATACAAATAAGTAAAATACTGGTATTTATCTGCAACATCCTGTGGTAAGCACTTTACGTATTTTTAAAATCCTCTTAGTAAATGTGTGCTAGTGAGCAGTTTCACGGTGACTCCCTCTTATCTGCGGCTTCGCTTTCTCCGGTTTTAGTCACCTGTCATCAACCCCAGTCTGGTGGCAGATGATCCCCCTTCTGACCCAGGGTCAGAAGGTCAGTAGTAGCCTAAGCCTAGGTCACAGTACCTACATTATTCACCTCACTTCATCTCATCACATAAGCATTTCATCATCTCACAAGAAGGGTGAATACAGTCATTTTGAGAGATCACAGTCACATGACTTTTATAACGGTATGTTATTGTAATTGCTCTATTTGATTTTTAGTAGTTGGTGTCTTACTGGGCCTAATTATAAATTTTCTCATAGGTGCGTAGGTGTAGAAAAAAACATAGTATATATAGATCTGTATTATCCAAGGTTTCAGGCATCCACTGGGGCCTTGGAACACATCCCCCATGGATGAGAGGGACTACTGTACTTTGCTTTTATAGGTGAGAAAACAGGCTTAAGTTAAAGAACTTGCTCTGGCTATTAAGTGGTATGATGGGATTAAGTCAGTGGTAGGGAAGGAGTTTGAACCTGACCATATATAACTTTATAATCTACATTTCTAAGCCCTGTACATTCTAGGCTAAAGGATAGGCTTGTAGAAAAACAGAGGGGTCAAGTAGCAAGGGGTATACCTGCAGCTGTAGTTTACTAAACCATATAACAGAAGGTATGTGTAAAGTATAGGCAGATGAGGCTATAGAAACAAGTAGAGCCTAGTTCACAAAATGTCTTTAAAAATTAAACCAAGATAAGGAGTTTAACTTGTATATAGAAGGCTTCCTGTAACCATTAAGGGATTCAAACAGGACTGACATCAGACTTGAAGGAAGACAACCCAGGCAGTGGTTTGGGGGATAAATCTGAGAGGGGATCATTCTGGAAGGCATGAGGCTTTAAGTATCCCAGGCGTGAAAAAGGCAAGAACTTGACTGTGGCAGTGGGAATGGAGGAGGTGCTACAGATTCAACAGATACCGGGGAGGTCGAAGTAAAGGACTGAGCACTGTTTGGATGTAGGGTATGGAAAAAGGGGTGAGTCTAGGAAGAATCCCAGATTTCTGATTTGGTGAAGAATTCCAGAAGACCAGCAGACTGGGATGGGGAGGTAAAGAGAAGATGGTTTTAGGTTTGAACATGTTGGATTTGAAGTGCCTGTGAGACAGTAGGGTGGGAATACTGGATACACGGCCGGATGTGTGGTTTTGGAACTGGCAGAGAGACACAAGCTACAAAGAGGTTTTAGAGTCATGCTCTTGTAAGGAGTAGTTGAGATCACACAGGGAGACCACATAGAGTAAGAAAAGCAAGGGGCTGGGGATGGGGAGAGTCTTGAGGAAACACAGACGTTTAAGGGGGTAGCAGAAGTGGAACTCTGAAAAAGTACTGCCAGAGAGTTGGAAAGGAACTTCACAGGAGTTCAAGGAGAACTTAGTGGGGCAGGAAGAGTCCTCAGGTGGGTGTTAAATATCTAACAGACAATATGAGGTCATAGTGACTTGTAAGAATGATTTCAGTGGCACAGAGCCAGACTGTAGATTAGGGAGATTTGCCTGGTGAGGAAGTGGGGATACTGCACATGGACGGTCCTTTCAAGTAGCTTTGCTATGAAAGTTAGGAAAGATGAAAATGGAAGATATTACTTACTGCCTTTAAGCTGACAATACAAAGTATCTAAACTCAAATGATCTTAACATGGATTGCAACCTTGAATTGTTTGCTACGGAGAAAAATGTCACCAGAACTTAAATGATATTTATAAAGAGTTGCTTATCAAAATCTTAACAGGAGTTACAGGGCATCATATTTATTGGAAGTTGTTTAAAAGACAATCTATCCATTCTCTAGATTTGTAGATTTTACTCTTGGTTAAGCCAGGCCATCAGAAATCTGTAAACTTAAACTGCATTATTTTTGGTTTCATAAAGTCGCTTCTGCTCTATTCTACCTTGTTGTATGCAGTGTTTGGTGTGCCATGAAGAACCTACCCAGTTAAAATTTATTGTAGTATTACTATATAGAACATTTTTGAGAACAGTAGCTAAAACGTCACATGCTACTCTTTTGACAAGAAATCATGGAAGCTTTCTATTAGTTTTCAACATTGAAAAAAACAGTGGTTCTCATAAATATTGATTTACTTTTTCTTAGGGATGTTGTGTTTGAACTGATAGTTTTTCCCCCCATTTTGAACCAGCTGCCAATAAGCAGAGAGTCAGATGTGCTATTCATTTCCATTACCTTTCTGGGACCAATGATTAAACGTATTTCTGTGTGTTGACCATATCTGCAGTTTTCCTATTATGCAACTCTCACTTTCCCTCTGCCCAAATTCTGCACTTGAGCTTCGTTACAAAAAATATATATGTAATACAAGTGTTACCGGGCCTAGTTCCGAACCCAAGTTCAGCCACTCATTGCTTGAAAGGCCAAAACTCAGAGACAGGTGTTGGTGAAAAGGCAGGATTGCTTTGCTCCGGAAGCTGGCTGCCCGGGAAGGTAGTGGCTGTGTGTCCCAAGACCACCTCCAAAGTGAAGTTCAGGGTGAGAGCATCCTAAAGGGGAGCTCCAGGGAGATGGGAGGGGTCTGCACGCGGAAGGGGCAGTTCGTCAGCTGCTCACAGGGACACCTGCCGGCCCTGTGGAGGCTGTGTGCTGAGACTGGAGTGTCCTTATCTGTGGTTTCCAGGGGCCTCCAGGCGAGATTCCTTAACTCAGAAAGGTCTGGTGAGAGGGCAGCCTGGAGGGAATGATTCGACTTTGTGGCGTGTTTGAAAGCAGTGTGGGTTGGGCTTTGTTGGAGCCTGTAGCAGAGGGAGGACAGCGAAGTCCGGGGCTCCTCCTCTGGAGGAAGGCCTTCTCTGTAAGGGGCCAGTGGCCGGCAGTTTTCAGGGTTTCCGAGAAACAAAAATGTGCTTGGTTTCAGAGGGTGAGGCTCTTTGGTAATGGTCCTGGGGGGAGCCGTTCATTTGGAGTTGAGGTGTCTGCAGCTGAACTGAAGATTCCCTGTTTCCCGTCTGCAGGCACAGAGCCTTTGGCTGGTTTGTGTTTTCCTCTCATGGAAGAGAACCTAGTTTACCGTCAATGTGTGCATTTTATTGAGTTCTTTGGCTGCGTTCAAGTTACCTCAAGTAAGGAGAGGTTTATTTTAAACATAAATCCAGAACTCAGGAAAAGCTGAACTGACTGGTTATACAGGAAGGCAGGTTAAATCCAGTCTGGCCGGCGGAGCAGGCCCTGAGGTACGGCCAGACAGTGGCTGTCGCTGGGGCCCCACTGTTAGTGAATGCTTTTCTTCTGTGGTCCAGCTTCCCCGCTTTCTGCATGGTGTTTAACAGCATTTAATTTTTGCCTGCACCTAACTTTGGCTTGTGTCCTGGAGTTCTTTAAATGTCAGTCTTTCTGTTACTCATAAGGTGCTCTGTAGGCCAAGTACAGCAGTATTGCTTGAGATACTCGTTAAGAATGAAAAGTTCTGTTGGGGGGTTGAGTTTATTCTTCTCAGTTCTTCCCGCTGCTGCTTCAAAGAATTGAAGCGCAAAGACCCAGCAGTAAAGCAGAGCAGAAGTTTTATTCAGATGCCCTCCAAGGAGGAGCGGGCCAGAGTCAAGGCAGACAAAGGCAGCTCTACTTCAGTAGAGAGGAAGCAAAGGGGAGCTTATTGAGCTGCTGCTCAGCATCAGGGCAGATCCCTTGCCAACTCCTAAGGCATCCAGTGTCTGCCTGGACCTGCACAGCATGGCAACTAGTCCCCACCTCCCCAGGATTTGGGGAGCCACAGAGCACTGCATGGAGTGAGATGATGTCCTGAGAGCTTCTCAAAGGCAAAGAAAAGAAGCTTTCAAGCAGGTCACTAAGGAGCATGATTGTAGAGCCTCAGTTCCGTCTGGGTCACCCAGGTGCTGGAAACTTGCAGACCCCAGATCAGA